TCACGCGGGCCGAGCGCCACCCGCCTGGGTCCCCCGCTCGGTTCCGCTGAAAAATGAAGGGTTTCAGTTCAGAGCCAGCTCTGTGCGTGTCTTCTGTTCATACCTACCTGCATCGGGCTTACTTTCTTTTTTATGCCCCACACGGAGCAAAGAGATCCTTTTCTAATAATTGTTTTTGAAAGCTCTGCCTGTAATAGACTGCATAAATTTCAGAAAATTTTAAAGAACAAAAAACCACACTTTTTACAGATCGGCTCAAAACTGTATTCTTAGAAAAGTAAAAGTATTACAGCAACTCTACACAAAAAAATACCCCACTTTTACCTCCTTTTTTTAGTGTCCTATTTTCATCTTTACTCTGAAAAATAGGACTCTCAAACTAAAAATTGCTCAAAAATTACCGATTATTTCAACTGCTGCACATGATAAATGGTAACTTGGACTGACAGCATATAGGAAATTTAGATCCCAAAGAAATCTGTTTCTTTAGAGTAGGAGATGATGGTTCTGAACTCTGTTCCTGGCTATCATCACTGACTTGTGTGACTGTGAAAACAGATGAAATAAGACCTTCTCTGTGAAAACATTAAGATATCTGAGTAAGAACGTTGGGCATTAATACATCTAATGCTAAAAATAATGTGTAAAATGTTTCTGTATTACCATTCTTTCAGTTCTTCCTCTTTTATAGATTCTTCAGGTATCTATAAAAAACATGTATCAAACATTGAAGGATGAAGAGAATTAGGTGAGAACTATACCCATTTGTTTGATAGCAAATAAAAACCCAGGTTTTATGACATACATGCTGGGAAACTGTTTATCCAGTCAGTCTTCAGTGCAGCACAAGAATACTATGTTGTGTGACTTTCTGCCTCTTGGTAGCTGGGAGGGGAAATAAGAGAGCTTGCTGCTTCTATTTATTTCCATTTTCAGTGAAAATGCTTTTTTTTGTTTTGTTTTGTTTTGTTTTAAGAAAAGGTTTTCTCAGGCTAGCTGCCTACATCCACTATGGATCAGGACAAGAATATATTGCTTAAATAGAACGTGTAACTGAAAAAAATCCAGGGAGAAAATTTTGGAGAGAGAACTTTGGAGAGATTCTTATGGTTCACAATTTCAAATAGATACATGAAAAACAGATGTGTAAATGTGTTAATCAATATGTGCAGTAAATGGTATTTTTGTAGAAAGGAATATTAAAAACCCAATACAACCTAGTAATAAAGTATAAGAAATAAAAATGGAGATACATAATAAGCCTAAAAAAATTAATTTCAGAAACTAAGTATTTTTCTTTAAAATGCATTAGAAATGTTCTTCCTTTCTACTTCACAATTTCGACAGCTGTTAGGATTTAATGTTTATCTCATTCAATATCAGGACTGTTCTTGAAGAGATATTCTGCCTATGAACAGAAGAGTTTCAAAGTTACACTTATTTTCAAGTCTCCAATTTTAAAATTTACACAAAATAACAAAAATATAAACAAAATCAGAGAAAGTATTAAATGGCTCTAAAATGTAAGTTCTGGTAGGTATGTCAGAGAAATCTCTTCCCCACAAATACCATCCAAAATACCATCCACCTCATTCTCCCTTTTAATAGCAGTCACCCCACCTCTATCATGGGCAAGAGAAGGAAGCGAGCTATTTATGACAGCATTTGTCACTCCGTGGAAAATCCTAGGACTACCCTAGGGCCTGATTTCTGGACCCAGAAGAGTAGATAATACAGATCTTTAAAAGTTATGCAATTAGCAGGGAAGAACTCATGCTCCTACAGCTACAGGTAGTTTTCACTCATCAGTAAGCAAAAGAATTGAAACAATTAAACATCCCGTAGTGCCTAAAGTGGCACACAATACTGATGCTTTCATTTTAAGCTTTTGCTTGGTTAATAAAATGTTTATTTTCCTTAAAACAGTGATAGCTTGTTAGTAGCTTTCTTAGGATGTGCAGGAAGAACAGCACTACAGCAATAACTTTACAGCATCTGAATTTTTTTGTCTGAATGCAATGCTAACCCTGCTTTCAGCCAAAAGTTGAACTAGATAACTTCTTGAGGTCCTTTGCAACTGGGATTATTCTATGAATGTCGTATAGGATTTATTTATTAATTTATCTCTGTATTGTGAAGGGAATTACTGAAGAGCTTTCATTCATCATTACAGTAATGTGTTCTGTTGTGCCTAGAGGGGTGTAAACAGGATGGACAGTGATGTCCCCCTTTCTGCAGGCCTCTATGTCACAGCAGGATTGGCAGGGTACATAAGACCTGCAGAGTGCACACACCAAAGAGAAACAGATTCTGGTAGTCACTGGGTTTTTAGTTTTCACAATAATTACTGCTCGCCAGAATTGCAGATCCTATCCATTAATTAATTGTTATCATGACAGTGGGGAAAAAGAATTTAAGTCCTTATGTTAACAGAGATTCTTTGGGTCTACATGAATATTTTCATTAAGCTTTTTCAAACATATTTAAGAAAAAAAATGTAATCCCCTTACCAGAAAATCGACTGGATCATCTGGCCTGATCCTACAGCATTCATTTATCCCTTGCATAAGTGTTGGCATGACGTTCTTCATTAAATAGTTTCGTAGTGGAAGGGACTGGGCCTCCAATAACTCTTGTTCTTGTCTTTTCACTTCCTCCTGATGTTTATTCTACAAATAATGAACAAAATCATAAAGAATAAGGTTTATAACATCCACCAAATAGCATTTGACTAAATAATAATGGTGGCCTAGAGAAAAAAATAGTGTTAGAAGCTGTGGACAGAACTTTAAAACTCACAACTTGGCAGGAAAAACTATGAACTGCTTATTAAATTTAGAGCACTTGGCACACTGAGGACAAAGAATTGAACATGATGAAAACTGAAATAATCTCCTTAGTAAAACTATTTTATTTTTCTCTCTTCAACACCTAAAAGGAGGTTTATTCTGAAGTCTTCCAGTGGTCCTGTTTCCATAAGATATTTGGCAAAATGGTTGGAATGCACTGTATTGATGTAGTAGATACGGTTTTTTACAGTACCTATTATTCTATATTGCTCGCTTCTGTAATTTTAAACAATGAAGACTTGTTGCTTAGAAGTTAGGTAACTAACAGGTGTTGTGTTTGTAAGTGTGTGGAATTGTAACTAGTATAAAATGTGTATCCTAGAAGCATTGTTAGATTCTAGTGAAGATTAACCTTGGAAACGAGAACCATAAACAAAGGTGGTCCAGACGTGGCTCAGAGACAAACTTTGACCTTATAAGGAAAGAAAAAAACAAGTTCACGAAGAGTTCATTATCCTGCTGACCACCCGAGACCCTCAAGAAGACCCTAAAGGCTTTAGTGCGCATATGTCTAGTTCCCGGAAATTTGATGAATATGTAAAAGAGAAATTTAAAGTATGTATGAGAAGCATGAATATAAACGGAAAGGTGATTAGACCAGGTGTGCTTGATTTGCGGCAAGTCCACCGAGCACCCAGGCCTGAATAAAACAATATCTCTCCTGAGCGTGTGGAATTGGTTACTTGTATGTCGGGCACGAATCTGCTTTTCGGACAACAGTATCACTTCAAAAATTAGTACTGCTGCGAATGCAGATGGTTTCTTGAGGGTTCTTTGAACTGGAGGGGAAGGGGAATATTTTTACTCGGAAGAGTAACTCGCTAAAAAACTGTAAATTGTGTTCGTTTTGTTTGGTTTTTTTTAGTTTGGTTTCTTTGGGGTTTTTTTATTTCATTTATGTCAGTTTTCGAGGGGGATGAGAGTTAAATAAACTAAATCCACAGTGAATTACATCTGTTTACACCAGCTAAATTTATTCTTGAATTCAGGTTAAATCAAATACAATGATTACACTCAAAAAGTAGGAGGGGTGGGGAAATAAAACTGCTGCCAAGTTTTTCTTTCTTCCACCTAATAGTATGCATACTTGCAGTGGTTTTCGCCAGAACATTACTCAAAAACATTTTTATTGTCCTGTCTTCTCTCACTTTATTCATCAGTAGACTGAGTCATATATACATACAGCAAGCAGATGATACTCTAAAGACTGCTTTTCTGTACTTAAGGCATAACACAAAAGCAATGTTCAGATAAAACCGATATAACAATGTCTGGAAAGATATTTATCTTATTCACTCAATCCACGAGTGCTATTGAATAAATCCTGTAAGTGGTCTTTGGTCACTACTCAGAGACAGCAGCTAATCTACAGTCTCAAGGGCAAATGAATAGTTGCTTAGATTTCCTGAGCATCTGCCTATTTAAAAGGATAAACTTAAGCACACACTTTATTTAAACACTTACTTTAGCTTTGAATAATGCAGTTTGCTCTCTTGAAAGTTAGATGGCTTTGGATTGAATATAGCTAAAAATGTGTTAACTACCCTTACTAATCTTTAGAGAAGTTTACAGAGAGTACAAAATGCTATTTAATGTTGAATGAAGCTGTAAATAAGCATAGAGATAACAAAACTTACTTACAAGCCAACACCAGAGGAATGTAAATGCTTCTTTAAAAGCAGGTAATTTCAGGATACCATTTCCCCAGAGATGTGTATGGGCATTCAAATGTAAGAAAAGGATTTCTCTGTGGAACGATCAGTTTGTTTTTAAATAGCTCTGGAAGAAGACAATAGAACAACTGCCTTCTGGTGAAACAACCTGACTTTGGGTGTGAACAAGAACATTGTTAGAGTATGCATTTCAGCTTATTTACCTAAAATGTCCTTAGGTGTGGCAAAGTAAATAAGGGAAAAGCATCATGTGCAAATCCTGTGAGGTCAGGTAGCCTAAATACCAAGTACTTATTAAAGTATTAGCAAACAAAAGCATCCTTCAGACTGCATCAGGTAGTCATCACTGAACTGAGGACTCAGCTCTCAAAGGTGTTTCTCTTGCAGGCTCAGAAACCTTTCTGCAATGCAGACTGGAATATTGATCAGTGTTGAGTTAAAAAACTTGGTTGAAAGGCATGGTAATTAAGACTTGGTCAGCTGCTTAGAAATAAAGTAAGCAAAATGCAAAAGTCCTAGAAGACTGGTTATGGAAAAACACCATTGATTATAGTAGATATTTATAAATGGTAAAATAAAAGACCTACGGCACAGCAACAACAAGAAGTGTATCATAAAAGTATTTTTAAAGACATGCTGATACCAACATGTAAAAAAAATGCTATGCCTGTAATCAAAAAGACAGTCTATTCTTTAGGTTGGGCCTCAAAATGCACTGTGAAGATAGTCTAACCCAGATCTAAAGTATGATATAAGGAACTAGAGAATTTATGCCACACTTTCCAAGTGTATTTACATAACAGATTGCTGGAAGCCGTCTAAAACACATAAATAATAATGGTTTCCCAAAAATATGTATTAACCTACCCACTCTTCCCAGTTTGCCATCCTTTCAGCCCTTTCCTCAGCTTCTTTACGCTCTCGTTCAGCTTTTTCTTGAGCTTCTTTGACAAGGCGTTCCTCAGCTGCTTTGCGTTCCAAATTCTCCTTTTCTTCATCTGTCAAACCATAATTCCGAGGTTCCCCAATTTCTTTAATGATCTCTTTTACAATAAATCTGTTCTCAGGATCTTCAAATTTGGCTACATCTTTTAAACAATACAAGACAGAACTTTTCAAGGCTTTTGTCAATTATCAATGGACATCAGTAAATAACTGCAAGACCTAAAAATCTATGGTGTTCGCATTGTTTGAATTTTCAATTATAAGATGTTGTTTTCAGTTGTGTATAAATGTCAAAGTGTTACACAGACTGAAGTTTTCTACATCTGATTTTCCTTACTAGTTTCAGCTAAAATAGTTTGTCTTTTTAAGATGATGTAAGGGAGAAATGTATTAAAATAATTTTTACAACTATTCTGTTTATCAGTTGCAGCTTGCTTAAGTTTTGAAACTTGAAAATGAGGTCATTCAACTATTAGAGATGTTCCTGTCACCAATCTTATGTCAACTTATCCAGAAGTGTAAAACCATCAGCTTTTGACTCTGTCTCCCCCACAGGTTACACAATAGGTTGTTAGATTTTGGCAGCAGACTCCAAAGTTTTCACTCACGCAGATTTACAAATACACAGACCTAACTCTAGTTGAACTCTTACTGTGTTATATCTACAAAACAAATCTGTAGCTTCATGTAGGAGCACAGAGACAGAGCAAGACTTTCTCTTTCATGTCATTCCTTCTCCCTTTTAGTTGCTGGAGGCTACTTGTGTATTAAACTTGCAAAAAAAGAAGGAAAAGAAAAAAACACAGAAAAACGGGGACTGTCTCCAAGGCTTTCTGGGCTCTGTATGCATTCAGTGTGGGGAGGCATCTGGCAGAAAGCGTATAGAAATGTACATGGAAAAGAGGAAAAGTGGGCATTTCAGGTATCCAGAGAATACAGAGATAAAGGGCTTGTTCATGGTAAGGGACTGGAGATGTAAAGGCACAGAAATTGGTAGGGAGAGCAAGCAGAGGAAGGGGAAAAACCAGAACAACTAGAATACAGAATTTAGTTGAGAATCCAGTAGTCCCTACTCCACAGTCCTCTGCTTTACAAAGTTATTTTGAAAGCCTCTGGCAAAGTATGCTTCCCATTTCTTTCTAATCACTAATTCAGACAGAAGATAGTTGTCCAATACTAACACCATTATTCCAAGAGTTTAAGTGTTTATGATTGACCTGAAGGCCAAACTCTGCTAATGAATTTAGGAGAAAGCTAACATAAATCTACATAATAAAATTTCTTTTACAGCTGCTTCTTTCAAAAAATCAGGAGTTGCATTCCTGAAGTATTCCAAATTAAAAGAATAATACATTTTCTATCTCAGCAATTTTAGCTGCACCTGGATATACAAATTACAGTGCAAACCACTTTTCTAGTCATTTGAAGTATTGCTAAGAACTCTCTCAGCATTGAATTTGAGGTCTCAAAGACTGCATTTTTTTTCTTAGATGGCCAAGCAAGATTACAATGCAACTATTACAGCAGTCATAATTAACTGCGTTTATCCTCAAAAATAAATACCTTTTAAATAAAAAATGAGGTTAGCACTGACGCTAATTGAGAGGAAAGATCACCAGAAAAGGAGTTCATAAATTAAGATCTTCAAAGGAAATTGCTATTATAACTTTAACATGCCTTTTTGTAGATGATCTAACATGCCTATGTCACCATCCCCAATTTGCAGTTGAGAAAAACAAGATAACTGACTTGGAGACTTCATTCAGTGAGTCACTGTAGCAAAGTAGGGTTTCCAGAATCTTGAAGCCCACTCCTTTGTACTAATCATATTTCAGACTCAGAAAAAATAATAATCACAGAAGTAATTCATAAAACCATGTTATGATTTTCTAAGATTAAATTGGAAGAAAGATTTGATTAATTTGAGTCAATATTTAACAAATCAAGCACAATTTTTTAACCATTCCCCACTAAATTTGTTCAGAATATGACTGAGAAAGCATTTGGCGCTCCACTTAAATCTGATGCTACTTAATTCTATGGATCTGATAAACCAACTGGAACATAAGCTAGAATGGAGGGGTATTTGCAGAGCTGAAGGTTCCTCACTTAAGTTATCTTTGTAATCTGTCTTCACCATTTTACAACAGAAAGCTGTATGCTTTCATACTTCGGTGGGTAACAATCATGATGTCAATATAAGTAAAGAGGCAGTTCCTGAGATAAACAGGACCTAAAGACAATGCTCCTTTGAAGATGAGAATCAACACCATAAACTGAATGTGAAAATCATTTGGAAGTCACTGAATGTCACAGTTGTGATACCTCAATAATTAAAATTAGTAGGCCAGTGAGTTTCCTTATTTGGAATGGACTAGAGTTTAAGGGTAACCTTTGGGCGTAATTCTTAGCAGAAAACACTGCAATATTCTACCATGGAGTATACACTTTACAGTCCCCACCAAAATAAAACATGGTCTTGGACAGTGCTACTACTTGCATATCCAGAAGTATATAAGATAAGAATATGACCAATTGATGGCATCGGACCTTAATATTTACCCTTACTTACATTTACTTTCTGTAGCAGAATTACTTGAATTCTAAAATGATCATACTAACACACTATTTTTTTTCCACTGCTACACTTCCTAAGAACACATGTATGGTATTATTCTCAAGATAATCTCCATGACTGACATTAAATAAACTTATGAAATCAATTATGACTGAGGCTGTTCAACAATTAACTTCTCATAACTCATCTCAAATGAACATTCCAAATATTAGCAGTTTGATTTTAGTTGCAAGGTTTTCCCCTTGTTCTTTCTTTTCTCCCTCCCCACTCCCCCCCCCAAAAAACCATTTTTCTTAAGAATGCTGTCACCCTGATCTCACTGTTTTTGAATAATCAGATTATAGTAATCTTCTCAAGATTACCCAGTGACCACAATTTTCTAGATAATGTGCAGGGAAGGCAAATCTTCTCACATACAGGTATAGTGCGAAACAGATTCAGTCCTAGCCTTCCACCTTTAATTTCTAATAATTTTCTTTCATGCTTCATTGTTTACAGATTATCCATATATTGTCATGGCATCTGAGGATAAGTCTAAAGAAAAAATATAAGCAACTATAATATTGAAAGTCCATGAAAATATACTATTACACCAATCTGGAAGGATGCTAGTGCAGAGGTCTGTAATCTAATAATCTAAAATTATTTTGATCATTTAGTCTACAAAAATGAACAATTAAACCCCTTATTTTTTAAAACAGGTTAACTGCACGAGAACAATTCAGAATCCTTATAAGTATACAGATATTTTTGCGGGTATATAATTAAATGCTTGTTGTATCTGTATTCTGCAATGTTAATTAAAAATATTATTTATATATATACACTTACTATATGATCTTCGCAAGTGTTAAATTTGTAACAACAAAAATTTTGTATTCATATTTTATCTACTAATTTTATTATTTCATACCAATAAACTGAGGATGTATTTCAAGTTCATCAAAATAGTTGAGAACAGTCTTATCATCTGTGTTTAACTCTCTGAAGACATTCAGAGACTGCAGGAACCGGTCCTGGGTATAATGAGTTCCAGCAACAATTTTCTCTGGCAGATTTATTATTCTGTTTATAAGGAATTCATCAGATGCAGTCAAAGAAATAACAAATTCTGTGAAGAACAACACATTATCAGCGCCCATATATTATTGGTTTTCCTCTTTATTACCTATTTTGTGTTAATAATAAATTTTAAACCACAATTGAACATAAACAGATGTGAATTGTATATATCTTTATAGAGAATGTAATTATCAAATGCTTATATTCAACTTCTCCAGTTAGAGCAATCCAAAAATATTAAGAGACATGTCTGTAAAGAAGCTACATATTCCAATTTCACCAAATTCTTTCTTAGCACTATCAACAAGACTATTCGTGCAATAAGCAGCACAAAAATCTTAAGAACAGCAATGCAGTGTAGTCCAAATTTTCTGAGAAAGCTATCATGCAACCTCCTATAGGAGGAAAAAAAAAATCTTATGAATGGTGCAGTCAAAGCAGCACGTAACAATGGAAAATTTAACAATTCACTTGTTTGTCAAGTCATCAAAAGTCATCACCTTGTATTGTGATATTTAATCTCACAAATAAAGGTGTATCTTCTGAATTAAAGTAAATTTAAAAAAAGAAAAAAAAGAATAGTACATTAAAGATACTATGCCACCATATGCGATAAAATTTAGTGTCAGTTATTTTAGTACTACTGCTAGACAAAAACACCAGAAATCTTTCAAGGATCCATAAAATACCTGTCTCCTTTCTTCACTTCAGAAGTGGTTACAACCTTGGTAGAAGTCTGCTTTTTAAATCAAACCTTTGTCCACTTCATGTAAGTGCAAGGACTAAGGAATTTTTCAGAAAGTTCCAAATTTTTTTCACTTCCAGTGAAGGCAGTAAATTATCATTTACTGAAACACTAAGCATTTGAGATATTCAACCTTTATACTACCTAGCCAGACACATCTTGTAATGCAAAATATGCCAAATGTTTTGTTTTAATGTAATCAAAACTTCCACAGAAAACAAGAATAGCGAAAACACCATGATGAAGCCATTTCTGCATAGATGAAAACCACTCTAATTCCCAACTTAACTGATGCATTAAAGTGAATTTGGTAACATCTTTCAAGATGATACCACGCTAAAGATAAACTTACATTTTTTTAATATGCCAAGTTCAGGAGCTCATGTTTATTCCATTAATAGCTGCTGTAATCACAACAAAGGCAGCCACTACTATTGTTATCAGCCAACAGTTGATGGCATTTTCACAAAAAGAAAAAAAAAAGACGACTAAAACACCCACAAACTGAACCAAAACCTTCCTTTTTATTAGTTGTTCATTTTCAAATAAGAGGGCAGCAACATTACATGAATTAGATATTTATTTTATATTAAATTAAATATGAACAGATGGAGTGGTATTTTAGACTTCTCATTGGTGGCAGCAGTACTTAAAAACTCTCTGTTTATTTAAAAAGAAATCTATCAAACTTACCAGGTGCGATTATTTTATCACATTTAGGTATTTTGCCTTTAATTTCTTCTTCTTCATCTTCATTTTCCACTAAAACAAAAGTAAGAAATGATTGACATTTTCATTTGAAGCAACAGTATGATTATATTTGCTAAAAATGTGCCCAGTACAAACACAGGTTTGTCTATATTCAAATTATACTAATTGTTAGAAATTAATCTAACCTGGACACCAGTTTAGAGAATTCAGTAAGTAATTTGTGCTACCAGCCACCATAGAATTCTGCCTTGGGACACTAATAGTTGTTAGCCTATCAGTTGAAGTATGCACATGCATACAGAATTTTAAAATGTGTCCATGTGGCTGTCCTGACCCTGGCCTCTCCTCCTGCCAAGTACATTATTCCGCCAAAAAAACAGAGACAGGGCTCAAAACAGTGAGTAGAAATGTTTTACAGTAGTATGGTTAAAATGCTTTTTGCCACTAAGTGTCTGCTATTCTGAATAGTCAGTAAAACTGCCTGAAGAGCAACAGCTGAGCATGATAATTTACAGCCCAGCATATTAAGCTGAACAAGACTGGATTTTGTTTTCCTTCAAACCTCATGATGTAATTTACATATGGAGATGATTCTTGGTCTTAATGCATGCAGAGTGCTTGCTCACAATTTGAAATGTATGTTGCAGAGCTCCTCTGAAGTCATATCTACTGTAGCTGATCTAATATACCCACTCTAATCTCGCTCACAAAACATGTATTGATGCACTGGCTGGATCCCCTCATTAAGCAGCCCTTAAATATTATGAAGAAGTTCTGCCTTAGAGCTTGCTTGAGTGGAGTAGACCAACACAGAACAAGAAAGGATCCTCCATCTTGTGTATTTACTTACTACTTTGCCAGCAAAGACAGTCTGAAAACTATCTTGTGCTTAAATTAAATAAGGTGCATTAGAATCCTTCTTACATTTTAAGCATCACGTGAAAACAACTTTGTTTTGTGTCCTGCACTGTAGTCATTACAGTGCTGATGCACTTCAACTACTATGGCACTGAGAACAATAATGATAATGACAATATTAGCATCAATAAAAACAAAAGCAGCAGTACTTACAATTAAAAAGATCTTTTGCCTGCTCATAGGTCTCTGGGAACCCATCTAGAACATATCCCTGATTCCTACAAGGCATAGATTTGAGCTTATCCTTCACAAATTCAACAACATACTGATCATCTAGATGACCTAAGACACAAAGAAGGTTAATAGGTACCTAGGTTATGGAAAAGAGATATCTGAAATTATTTTACTAACATTTTAATTCATTTATCAGAGAAATGTCTATTTAGACCCTAAAAAATTTATGTATTTTGAGTTACTATTTGTATATTACATGTTGTCAAGCAATCTATGGAATATAAATGTGTAGTTATAAAATAAAATTACATTTGTGTTTACAAGGATATAAATATTAGAACTTTAAGGATACTAAACATTAAATTAGGTTTTTTTTAGAATAACACAATCAGATTTTAATTGAAGGAACAAAGAAATATTTATAGGAAAAAACGTGACAAAACAATAATTTTCTATTTACAATTAACAGTAAGACTTAAAGATAGTCTTGCAAAACAAACATGAGATAGGTTTTACAAGATGGATTTTCAGATTAATAGATTGAGATATGAAGTGGTTTATTAACTTGGCCTACATTGTTGAGCAAATATGTGGGAATAAAAAGTTTGGTTTGACCTGATTTTTTGTCCTTTTGCAACCATTGACTCCAGTTTCCTGCCTTATTGTGATTCGGCCTTTAAAAGTCTTAAATATTTATAAACCATTGTAATCATAAAAGTATGTTACTATTTTAAAAGGCGTTATTATTTTAAACAACAAAACAAAGCATGCAGAAGAGATGCTGCCATAAATCTCATTACTGAAGCTTTTGGCTGCGTTACAAGTTCATTGCTTTGCAGATACACAAGATCCAAACCAGGTAAACCTTTAGTGATAGAATGAGTTTTTAAGGGGGATCACTTTATACCGCACAGAAAATGTTAGGCACTAAGTCAAAAACTACATGACTTTATTCATATGTAGATGATAATTAGTACTTTACAGTAATGGCAATTTTTATGGACCTTTTTCAATCTGTAGACTTTAAAATTCTTTACAGGCTTCAGTAAATATTATTTACTTTTTAGAAATGGCCAAAATGAGGTATAAGGTTCTTAAAAAAACCCACAATCTGATATGACAGTGCACTAATTCTTTTTCATACTAGAATTCTTCTTTGAAAATTTGATAAAGATATGCTTCACTAACTTTTTACTTTATATTATATAAATTATGCTTCCTGTTCTGAGAAAAAAACAGGTTTTTAAAAAAATCTGGCCAAGAATCTAATGCTTCTGAGTATACTGTTGTTACTTATATATCAACTTATAGGGTAAAAAGAATTCTATAAAATGTATAAAAAAGTAGAAAGGCGGAACTTCTACAAATAAAAAAGCACCATAGTATTTAAAAAATATATTACTTTTGATATACAAGGTATATAATGTATAATGTAAAAAATTGTATTTGATTTTTAAATAAGGTACATACAAATGGACGGGGCATGATTCTTGCTTTTAATGGGACGTAAAAGTTCTAAAGCACCAATTTGCTTCCTGATTTTCCATTTGCATAGGATTGCACTAGTTACCTAAATCCCATCTTAGTACTTTGTATTTCCTACCTGCATTCTGCTCCATGCTTTCTTTTATTCTAGTTAATAAGCCGTGTGCTGCTTCTACATTTTTATCCTCCTCCTCTTCATCATCTTTTCCCTCTTCTCCCACACTGTCAGAGTCCAGTTCGTTAGAAGCCACAATTTTCTCCTGAAAACAAGATCAGAAATATGAATAGGCTCAGAAATTCCATAGACGAATTTATTTTATACACAGATATAATAAAAGGAAAAAAAAAAATTAAACAATTCATTTCATGTATGCTCCTGGACAGTGAGATACTGAGCAACCTTCAGCCTCTAAAAAGAGTTCTGCGCATCCCCCAGAGGTGATCAGTATGTCAAAAGAGATTTCCATTCTAAAATAATGGAATTACTATTAATTTTTAAATTATGCCAAACGTTTTAAAATCACAGAAGTTAAAATAATAGCAATATTAGAAAACAGCAACACACCAGATTTGCTATTGTTTCAGAAATCACATCATTTATCTTAATGTGATGTAGCTTGTAGTGTTTGCAGAGCTCTTCAGCAATAGTAGATTTGCCAACCCCAGGAGGACCATGAACGCAAACTTTGAGAGGCTGGAAAAAAAAAGATAAAGATATAACATCATTCAAACAATATGGATGTTTTTATGTAAAAGGAACAATCTTTTTACTATAACTAACAGGAAATAACAATTATTATAATTAAAGCTGAAAATATATTTTAGTTTTATTCATTTATTTATTTCTTGCTCAATATCTCCTATATCATCCACAGGCTTTGAGTAACACAGTTACTTAATTTAAATGTACAACTTTACCATTGAGAAAAAGCACACTTCTATCTGGTAGACTCACAGACCAACTTATAGCGGCACTATTAGTGTTTGAATGATCAGAACAGACGAAACACAACCGCATAGATAGGATGCAGTGAATTTTGGAATGAGGTGGCAGATATTCTACCATACACATGCAATAGCTCTATTTTCCAACTGAGGTAGAGTTGCTGCCATCACAATGGTTACTTTGACCTCAAAAATTTCAGATCCATCACAATCTTAAGATATTATCAATTTCTCATTTCAGTCTACCTAGCCCGTGGATGAGTAAGTGTAATTAAGATTCCGGTATACACTTATAAATATATTATGCAACAAACTCAAAATCATACATCATTAACTGCCTATCTTAATTCAGTAAATCTGACAGTGCCAACTCTGCAAATTTAATAGAGTAGTGACAGGGACAGAGGTCTAGCTAGCTTTCCCTCTCCTTGCCACTTGGTACGTCTACATTTTGTACTGAATTTTTTTGAATTACATGCATGCGTACTCAGATGCAGTAGTTTAACCCAAACACAGATCTGATAATCCTTTCAGAAGTACACAGGGACTTCTAACGAACGACCTCGAACAATAGTAGTTGTATTTTGTTCTACACCTCCTGTCGTCGTATTTTGTTTTACACCTCCTGAACTCGTTCGGAGTTTGAACAAGATTTAGACATGCTGAACAGCTTTATCATACCAATCAATACTTGAATGTATGCAAGCATTCTTCTGCACCTTTCAATAACCTTCCCTATACATTTGAATACAGAAGTTCTAAATATTAAGCTAATATAGCAAACAGCAAAGTTGCTCAGGACATTACACCATAGAGCAGGGTAAAATGAAAGCTACATTGCAATTGAATATCCTGGCTCACTGAATATAATGAAGGACACAAAATACTTGCCTACCTACTGACTACCATAAAAAAGCTTAAATAAAAGATACACTTACTGTGTTCCTGAAGCAAAATATACC